CGGGCGGTCGATGTGTGCGTGACACCCCGTCCGCGCGGGCACGGTTGGCGTGGATTCCGGGCGGTGGCTGGCGCCAGGACGAAGATGATGCTCGATTCCTCCGACTCTGACTCCGGCGCTCCGGCGGGCCAGCTGCAGCTGCAGCGCCGCGCGGCTGCTGCTGGGACCGAGCCGCAGGATGGAGGGTACGCCAGTGCGGGGTGGCAGAGGTAATGCATGTCCCCTGCTCATCTTCTGGTTATAGACGTTTCCTGTGTTTGCATCAGCTTGAAATATCGTTGGTTGAATTTGCATTTAGGCGGGCCTCACGTTGTACATTTGCTTGCCTTGCCTTGCCTTGAAATATCAGAGGTGCAGTAGAGATGCTCCAGAATTTGCAATCGGACCATGTGCTTTGATTGACATGAGTGCGCTATATAGCTGTTTTGCCCCGTGGTTTATCATTTCTTAGGACGGTTTGGTATACATGAGACTAGTTGACATACTTAACACGATTCTTTATCGAAAAAGAACGAGGTTCTATCTGATCATAAGTAATCTTTGTCACCAACACCATGGTATGCATGCAGCCATCAGTATACGCCAAATGGAGCTGCTATGTGTACTGACATATTGGGCCCGATTTAGATATGACATTTTGTGACAACCATTGATTATTTGCCTGGTGCTGGCCCAACGAACATCAGATTGCAGCATCAAACCATTGTACCAGGATTGGACTAAAAATGTTGTACACGAGGCAATTCCATGTCCTGCAGTGCTACTAGTGTCATGCTCCTAATGCTTCATTGCATTCTTACAGGAGTGCCAGCGATGCTTAGCTGTGAGGCTGTTACTAGTAGGACTTTATGGTCATCTAGACTAGTTACAAAGCAGTACAACTGCAACACTAATGTATTTTGATGTGAACCACCAGCAGTTGGCAGATGCAGTCACGGAAATGTATGCCTCTTGATCTGAAATTTATCATGTGCTTGTTTATTTTGTGATCGTTGTAATGTATAAGATAGATTATCTGCACTTCTGATATTTCAGGTCTATATGTTCGTACAATAACCATTTCTTATCTTCTAACATCTGTTATTAAAAAATGCCCTCTCTGAGACTCTTTAGAATATGTAATGCTGCCTGGGTTGACATTGTGTCCAAATATCATGACAGGGAAGATGGTAAACTGAAATGTGGGTATTCAAGTTTTAGAGGGAAAAGGGCTACAATGGAGGATTTCTATGATGTAAAATTAACTGAAATTGATGGACACGCTGTTAGCCTATTTGGTGTATTCGATGGTATGGTTTCCAATCTTGCCTTCTTACTTCCGCAATTACATGCCTATCGTGTTCTTACTTTGCAAAGCTTTAGGTCATGGGGGGTCACGTGCTGCTGAGTATTTGAAGGAGCATTTGTTCGAGAACCTTATGAAACACCCCAAGTTCTTGACTGATACAAAGCTTGCTATAAGTAATGTTTCTCTTGGCATTTACCTGTATGTATATCTGTTCACATTCTTCCCAATGCTTCCAATCATCGTTTTCTGAGCTTTTATTTTTTTTATAAAAAAAGGTGAAACATATCAGAAGACAGATGCAGATTTCTTAGAATCAGAATCAAGTGCTTTCAGGGATGATGGTTCCACAGCTTCGACTGCGGTTTTAGTGGGTGGCCATCTATATGTAGCAAATGTTGGTGACTCCCGTGCTGTTATTTCAAAAGCCGGGAAAGGTATATTCTGTTAGAACCCTATTGTAGTCACTATATGATTGAATCATCCAAACATGTTCTGGTCCTTGTAAATACTTATTGTATGTATCTGCAGAGTGTTTCTAAATTTGCCCTCCAGCGATGATATATTTGGCAAAGAACTATGGTACATTGTGTTTCTTTTAATGCACTTTTTTACAAAATATTTTCCCACCAACACATTGCAGTTATACGATTATACCATAGCTATCTGCTCATTTCCTTCATGTGATGATTATTGTTCTACCATTATTTAAGGAAAATGGCAAGGCTTGCTTATTTCTTAGCACCATCATGATGGAATCTATATAATGACATCATATCCACTTCAGTTTACCGGCGTGGTTCGGTTACTAGCTTAGGAGCTTCGTTTTCTCCATTGTAACTCTACTGACCTCATATGTTTGTTTTTGTAGCTAGGGCACTCTCAGTAGATCACAAACCTAACAGGTCCGATGAACGCAAGAGAATTGAAAATGCTGGAGGTGTTGTCATCTGGGCTGGTAAGTCTTATTTTATTTCACTCATGCATTTGGCATTGTCAGTCAGCACAATTGTAAGTGGACAAGGACGGTAGCAAAAGACTTGCTTATTCATTTTGAGCCTTCTGATATCTCCTGTATGTTTGGACATGGTGGCTTATCATGCTTGGGTTGTTTGTTTCGTGATCTTGCGTGCAGCCTAATTGCTTCTAGGCGTGCCATGTTTCTATACAAGATATTTTGTTTTTTGATTGATCTAGGCTTTACAATTTGACTATCGGAAACTATTCCATCTTCTTGATGTGGTATTTGCCCAGGTACTTGGAGGGTAGGTGGCGTACTGGCAATGTCCCGTGCGTTTGGTAATCGTCTACTGAAGCCATTTGTGGTGGCAGAACCTGAAATTCAGGTAGCTTATTGTAGTTGAGTTATGCCAAGATTTCGTTACCTTTTTTTATATATAGTTGGAAATCAGTGCTTTTTACTTGTTTCAACCTAGTGCAGCAGCAAGTGGTCATTGGCAACTCCAGTTCTATACCTTTCTTTAGATTAGTCATTAGTTGCCTGTTTCTAATTTTGATTACTTGTGATCAAATCTTATCTAACAAATCGTAGGAAGAATTGATTAATGGAGAATTGGAGAGCCTGGTTCTTGCCAGTGATGGGCTTTGGGATGCCGTAGAAAATGAGGTAAACTCTATTGCCAACTGTCATAATTCTCACCCTGAATGCACTCAGAATTTCTGAAGCAAAACACTGTTGCTTATGAGGCTGTAGAAAGCATTTTCCACATCTGATCCGTGCTTACATTCTAAGTGCAACAATGCGTAACTTTATACCACCTCTGTAACTTAATATAAGACGTTTTAGACACTGTCATAGTGTCTAAAAACGTCTTATGTTAAGTTACCGAGGGAGTAGCTCTTTAACTGATATTCTGGCAATGATTTTCTCAAACAGGAAGCTGTGTCCCTTGCAAAAACAGAAGATGTGCCAGAGTCTGCGGCCAGGAAACTGACGGAGATTGCCTACTCTCGTGGCAGCGCTGACAATATTACATGCATCGTGGTGCAATTCCACCATGATAAAATTGCAGGATGAGATGGACTACAGCTGATTAAAGGTTTCTCTGCTTCAGGCCTCTTTTTATCCTGCAAGCGGAGTGGGGTTTCTCCCACATCTATTTTTGCCTCTGTGGCAACTGCTTAGGACTTCCTCTATTGATTCTTTCCTTTGTGTGGGAGACCTTTTCTCTTTTGAGAATTGTAATGGGAATTTTTGAGTTTGATGTATCCATGTCTATGTATGTACTAATACTTGTTATATTTGATATAAAAAGAGTGAGTTACGGAGATCCAACAAATCTCACATGTTCAACTGCATCTATCCAATGGTTTGTGTCGCTTTCACATTTAGCGTTTAATATCATACCTAATATGAATGCCAATGTTAACCATGTAATTATTTCCTACCAAATATCAATGTGCAATTTATATCTTTGCCTAATATTAATGTTCAATATAGTTAATATCTTGCTTCATATTAACATGCGTTGCACACACACTTCCTATACAATAAATTTACCAGTTACATAGGCTATACAATCTTTCATTTTTTTGAGGCAATCTCATGAAGCTTTTATTCAACCCGTCACAAAGTTTACAGGGACGAAGGAAATACCCTTGGTCTGGCCTAGCCAAACATGATGTCCAGGCCCTAACTTTAATACATGCTTTGCTAAATTGTGAGCCTCCACATTGGAGCTCCTAAACTCATGAACTATATTACATGAAATAAAAGAAGTAGCTCTCAACTTAATCTCCTTTATGATACCTCTGTAAGTTGAGCCGCTTCTAGTTTTGATTTCTGACACCACTCCCTGGCAATCTGATGCTAGATGTATGCGGTGCAAATTCAAGTCTTGGGCTAGAGCAAGCCTTCCCTGACCGCCGGTGCTTCAAGAGTTATTGGGTTACCCCGCAAAAAAAAAGAGTTGCTGGGTCACCATGATTTGTGAAGACATAGGCCGAAGCGCCCAAGAAAGACCCATCATTGCTTCTACAGATTGTGCCAACCGCTCCATGGTGTCCTCCTCTGCTCACAGCTGCATCCACATTAAGCTTCATAAAATGTTCAGGTGGAGCTAGTGCTTCAAGAGTTGCTGGCTAACCCCGCAAAAAAAAGAGGTGTTGGGTCACCATGATTTGTGAAGACATAGGCCGAAGCGTCCAAGAAATATCCATCATTGCTTCTACAG